ACGCACGCACGCACGCACGCACGCACGCACGCACGCACGCACGTGCAAGCAAAGGCAGAATGCAGGCAATCTGTCTGGGGTCATATCAGGCTGACAAACCCTGCAAAGCACTTAACTGCCCTTTGCAGGACATCTTAGAAATAAATTTCTGAACTGACAAGCTTCTCAGTTTGAGCTCAGAGCTTTCTCAATATCTATAGCTCAATCAATACTTTAAAATGAACAAATAAACTCCTTCCACCTAAAAGCTGACGGTTAGAAACTTACACTGCCGAGGGAGTTATAGACGTAGACGGGGATGTCTACTGTCATGTAATGTGAGAGAGCAAAACCGTGCAATTGACTCAAATGTCCACCAACAGGGGGCTGGTCAGTGGACCATGCCTGAGAGGAAGCCCAGCATGATGGTTAAGGGCATAGGCCCAGAGCCAAAATGTTGGCCTCTGCATCTGGCTTTGCCACTTACCAGCGAAAATCTGCACAAGCTCTCTAACCTTATTGTACTTCAGCTGCTCTATCTATAACACAGGGTAACAAAAAGATCTAAAATGTGTGCCTCCTCTTTTACTGCCACGCTGTCTAGTAGAAAAGCCCCATTGTGAGAGGGAAGGTGGTCATGCAATGTCACCTTGGACTGAGGGAGAGAAGTCTGTAGCCACGGAAAGAGATCTTTATCTCATTGCCTTGTTGCAAGCAGTTAATTCCTACATTCTGGTGTTTAGCAAGTACTCAAATGTTTTCTAGTGCAGCCATTCATACAGGAATGTTACATGGCTGCTAAAAAGACAAAGCTCTATATGCACTGACTTATCAGATGCTATCTTAATGTGCTTTACATTGCTGTGATAAACACCATAACCAAAAGCAACTTGGGGAGGAGAGGGTTTATTTCACCTCACAGCATCTCATGAAGGTATCAGGGCATGAACTCAAGGAAGGAACCGGGAGGCAGGAACTGATACAGAAGCCGTGGAGAAATACTGATTTCTGGCTTGCTCCTCATGGCTTGCTCACCCTGCTCTCTTATACAGGACTCTCTGTCCAAGGGTGCACTGCCCACAGTGGGTTGGGCCATCCCACATCAATCAGTAATCAAGAAAATGCCCCACAGACTTGCTCACAGACCAGTCTTACAGAGGCACTTCCTCAGTGGAGGCTCCTTCTCCCAAGGTAACTCTAGCGTGTGTCAAACTTACAACACTAACCACCACAGATGCCAAACATATATTTTAGGTCAAAGAAAAACAACTGTTAAGAGTGCTATGCTTGGTAAAAGTCCATTTTTGTAAATGCATTTATAAATCTATGTGTGAATATGTGCAGAAAGAAAGCCTAGGCAAATACACACCAAACTGTTTATTGACCCTTCTGGGGAGCTGCATAAATGGAATTCTATTATTTTCTTTACCCCCACCCCATATTTTGACAATCCATTTATTATTCTCAGAAGGAAAAAACGCTTCAAGTTTTAAGGTGGACAAGTGTTGGGAAAACAGAATGAGAAGTCTCCCTGCAGCTACGGACTCCACGCCTCAGTCCAAGGTAACACTGCATGACCATGTTCCCTCACAGTGTGGCTTTTCTACTAGACAGCATGGCTGTAAGGAAGGAGGCACACATTAGGTATGTGCCTAAAGTCATTTCCGGAAGCATAGCTGAAGCCGGGTTCTTACTTCAGATGTACCTGACTCAATGAATAAAGCAGAGAAACACCAACCATCAAACAGCAAGAGACCTGTGCGATCATCTAAGCAACCCCTTAATTGACAGCTGGAACCAAGCAAAGGTGTTCCTGAGTTAAGACCTATCAAGCACTTTTGAGAAACAAAATTTATTTCCCATTCAAAAGCCTAGAGACACATCCTCATGGGTGAGAATTTTATTCTGAGAGCCAATTAACTCAATACGTTTCCTACCCTACTAGTGAGAATGTAGGTTAGAAGCAATTTTGGAGAGGGAATTTGACAATGTTTCTTAAAGATGCTGCTGCTCATATTTTGTGAGTGGACAATTCCACTCCAGATAATCTTCCTGACAGAAGCATTCACCTAACTTAACTACCTAAGGATGAACACAGAGAAGCCCTGGTTGTCATAGCTCCACACTGGAGGCTGTCTACACATCCACCAGTCGCAGAATGGGATAAATAAATTCTGCTTATGTTCACAAATATACATGATTAAAAAATGAGTGAATTAGAGCCACATATTACAACATGGATGGCTTTCACAAGTATAATAGTGACTATAAAAACAAGTTGTAGAATAATGTATACATTGAATACCATTGGTATAAACGTTTAAAATAGAAACAGCAGCATGTTCTTTAAACACACACGTACACATATATGAATACACACACACACACACACACACACACACACAGAGAGAGAGAGAGAGAGAGAGAGAGAGAGAGAGAGAGAGAGGAGAAAGGATTAAAGTATGAATAAATGAAAGAGAATAACAAACACTACATCCAGCATAGTGTCCACTGTGGAGGGTAGGAGCTTTAATTATGAAAGAATAGACTCTATTGGTAATGTCTTTCTTAACCTGGACATCAGATTATTCTTTATGCTGTTTTGAATGCATAAAACATTTCAAAATACAGTGCTTTTAAAAATGCAACAAATGCCATGCTAAATGAAAAGTTGATCACTTTCGGATATAACAAGACACTAAACACAATGTAATAAATATAGATATCACATTCAAAATTAGAAGATTATTCCTTAAAGCTTCTTCATTTTCCTGGGACAGGAGGGAACCCACTAGAGACCTAGCAGTTGGGTGTAGTCAGCTGGAAATCAGGAGATAATCTCTCAGCCACTCAGTAGCTGTAGGAAGGAGAGCAATTTTGTTAAACTCTTGGGTTTGCATGTTTAAAAAATGCAATGCCTGAGCAGACTGTCTTACAGATTTTTGTTTTCAGACGACTGCCTCCTTCAAGTTTTTCTTGTTTGTCTGGTTGGTTAATTGGTTAGTTAGCAGCAACTGCTAAACCCATCCCTATAAATTCTCAAGTGTTTCCTATGTCAAAAAATATTCAGATTTATTCAAAGCAGCACTCCTCAGAACCTTTAATATGGTTTATGTACATTGTCACTCTCCAAGAGGAAAACGAAGTTAAAAAGCATTTCGAAAGCATTTCTGTGCCCCCCACCCCACCCCCACATACACACACACACACTTTAAAACACAATCTACTGATATTCTCCTACAACTGCTGCCCTAGAAGGATTTCCTGACTACTCTAGCAGTCAGTGTTTGGAATCCTTTGGAAGGACCGGTAAGATGGGGGAAGACACCTGCAAGCCTAAGGACCGGAGTTTGATCCCTGGAACCCGCAAGATGGAAGGAGTAGAACTGACTTTTGCAGGTTGTCTGTCCTCTGACCCCACAGGAGAGTCGTGGCCCATGCCCTCTCTTCCACACGCTGGAGAGAACACTGGGATTGCGTACCGAAACAGCCACTGAGTGGGTTTCTCTCACTGAATGTCCTTGATCAGTTTGGAGGTCTAGCCTCTCAGGTATTATGGCAGACGGAGCACCAGACACTTGTGAGCATCTGCGATGGGAAGGCCTGTGTCTGAGATGTGATCTTCCCCATCTGCATTTTGGGCCTATCCGAAGTTTGCTGCTTCAAGCCAAGCTCCCCTCCTTTAGGTGACAGCAGAGCTGAAAGATGTTCGTGGTGAGAGCTCAAAGCCACTCAGCTAGGACCTAACCCAGAAGGCACAAGTCTCTTCCTATGTGCCTTTATCCCCCATCAAGAGTTGGCAGGGATCAGCACTTCCAGGCAGAGAGACCTGCTCACCCAGGGAAGGAGCGGCTCCATCTTCCTTCAGGGACAGGACTTTTACTTCAACTTCCAGCCCTTAGGTTTCTGAGACCCATCTCCCCACCCAAACCTCAGAAGAAGAATCTGCTCAGGTTTGTGGCTTCCACCAGACTTTCTTGAAGGTGACTTACTTGGGGGCCTTTAATTTAGAAACGAAGATTCCTTTGTAAAAGTATACGTAGAGATTTTGAAGGCCTTTGTTCTTTCGAACAATTGAAAAAGTGCGTTCTCTTCCTGAAAGCAAGCGCCATGCTCTCAATATCAGCTAACAGGAGATGCTCCGAAGAGCTCTACTCCCCACCCCTAGCCACCTCACCTGCTGGGAACCCACGAGATCTGTCCACCTATCAAAAGAAGGGTAAACTGCATTTACCCATCCAGTCCCAGGCCCGTGTACCAGGTTGGGGCACTTAGCTTGAGGCTAGGGGAGGCAGGGAGTGTAGAAGAAAATGGGGTGTCAGACTCTGGAGAAGTAAGCTCTTGTCTCAAATCACTCCAAACTATGCTCTGCAGAGGAAAAGGCTGCCTCCCTGTTACAGGAGGCAGAGAGGGGATCAGAAAACAGAACAGACAATGGGGGGAAACTGCATCAGGGAAAATGAAGGGGGTCAGGAAGTCAGTGCAGAGATGCCATGATCCCTTCACCCCTGGGCTCTGAGGCCTGAGCCTGGTTTACTTCAGGGAAGAACTCCCGTGTCCTCTCTGCTGGCCAGAATACTCATTTGCTCCAAAAATTGGAGGTCCAGTATTGCCTCTCTTCTCTTTCCAGCAAATGCTTTCCACACATACTCCTTCCCTCTCACCAGTAAATCTACCCTTAGACAAAAAAGCATGTCACTGAAAAAGCTAAGATAAATAAATAAACACCACATTCCTGTCAAAGAAACAGACCATGGACCTTCCTCTTATTCATCCTTTAGATCACAATTGCTCCAATTGGCTTGAGTTACTAGTCTTCAGAATCTTCTTTCTCCTTTATGAATTCAATCAGTGACTACTTCGTTAGAAGCCTTTTTAATGCAATTTTCCCCCAATGGCACATGCAGGCAGACAAGAGCAGGCATACAGACACCCCCTTAGACAGTGCTACCCCTGAAGCATCCCTTCTTACTGCCAGCTGAACGAGGGCGAGGCTTGGAAATAATTTCTCTGTGGCCTACCTTCTGATTCCGTCAGGTCTGCGAAGCAGGCGGGTAGCTGGAGGCTGGGAGGCCCGGGCTAAGCTGCCTCTGTGAATCAGCAAAGAAGTCTCTGAGACAGGGATGCCGACAGCTGCTGTGTGCACACTCTCCCTCTGTCTCTCCCACCTCCCCGTCCTCCTCCTCCTCCTCCCCTCCCCTCTCGGTGCTGCTCTGTGTTGCTATGCGATCATCACCAGGACTGACAGCACCGTTCCGACCTCCTCCGGCAAAGATACCCTTGACTGGACAGATGCAGAGAGAGCAAGGACAGTTTTATGAAAGTACCAGAGCCGTGGCAGCTCTCGGAGATTTCAATTCGGTGGAAGCAGAAGAGCAAAGCGGAAGAGCCTGAAAAGCAGAGGGGGAGAAGGAGGAGAGGCTTCCACTGGGAGGAGGAGACAAAAGAGCCCCGGAGATCAATACGAGCTGCTGAGCTGAGCAAAGTGTCTGGCCCCCAACTTCCACATTTCCAGCCCAGAGCCAAACCCAACTTCGGAGCCAGCGGCTGGCAGGGCCCCCTCTGTAGCCAGTCCAGGATTCAATTTCTGTTCCGGGAGCTGAAACACTCCGCTCTCACAATTGTCATTGATACTCAAGGTACAGTCTGGGGCACAGCGCAGGCTGCCAGTGACCTCTGAGCTCTCGGAGTCTCTCCCTCTTAGACCTTCAGTGTGGGAAACTCAACAAGTAAAGGAAAGAATAGGGACTGGGAATGATTTGAGAAAATACAGTTCCTTCCTGGCTCACCTCACCGACCCACTCACTGTCACTGATTTCGTCCACACCAGCTCTCGCTCTTTTGACTGTTAAAGGTTTAAGTTCCACACACCCCAACAGATCAGGATGTAGGATATCATATTCCTTTACTGAGGGCTCAGCACAGCAGTTCAGGTAGCACATATTTGTTGAGAGAATGAACAATGAATGGATGGCCGGTAAAGGCAGTCACATAACCCTCACCGCCACCCTCCTACCCTGAGGAGACGAAGGCTTGAAGCCCTCGAGGCTCCAGGCCTTGGCGAAGAGACTTACTCTTTCCTCCCTCTGCTTCTGAGAACTGTATGGGAGAAGGGGACTGCTCGGGGTGTTACTGAACTCGACGGAGGATGAAAACTCCACATGCTCTGATGGCATTGAAACGCAACACAGAAAATGCTTCTGGACTGGTGGGATCTGGGGCTGGTGTTCATACGTCTAAAGGGCTGAGAATTAGTACAATGACTATTATCATTGTTTTATTTTAGTATTATTATTGAGTGGCACTTCCTTTATTTTGTGATTTTTTTTAATGACAAAAGTTTCTGATTTGTTTGTTTGAGACAGGATATTATGTATCCCAGACTGACCTCAACTTGCTGTGTAGGTAAGGATGACCTTGAATTTCGGGTCCTTCTGCCTTTGCCTCCTAGTGCTGCCATTATAGGCATGCAGTACCACCACGTTGGTTTATGTTGCAGTGGGGACAAATCCAGGGCCCCCGTGCATGCTAGTCGACCACATCACCAACTGAGCTCTATCCCAAGCCCTGAGAAAAATACTTTACAATAATTCAAATTGAAAGATAGTAATTGCGCATGTTCAGTGGGGTGTAATTTGATGTCTTAATCTATATTTACGTTGTGGAGCCACTCGAGCTAATTAATATAGCACCTTCTCACCAACTTAGCGTCTTCTCTTGGTGAAAATGCTATAGCCTTTTAGCAATTTGGGAAGAAGCCCATATTATCTGTGGTCACATGGTGCAATATTATCATTATGAACATTCTCAATATAATCATTATTCAAGAGCCTCTGTTAGGAAAAACTGTGTGTGTGTGTGTGTGTGTGTGTGTGTGTGTGTGTGTGTGTGTGTGTGTTTCAGGATGAGATTTAAAAAGCTGAAGTCGTTGGCTTCAGCAAATGGCTAGAAATAAGGCCTGATCTCCTTGAAGCAAACAAAATGGGAACTAACTGCCCTTCCCAGAAGCTTTTTAAAATTTATTATTTATTTATTTATTTATAATTTATGTGTGTGAGTAGTTGGCTTATATATAGTAATGTGCACCATTTGCATGTTTGGTATCCGTCGAGAAGGGTGTCAGACTCCCTGGAATTGGAGTTGTTAGGGACCCTTATAGGCTACCATGTGGGCACTGGGAAACTGAACCTGGGCCCTCTGCAAGAGCAGTAAGTGCTCTTAACCACGGAGACATCAGGCCCCAGCCAGGTGCAAGAAAGGATGACTTGATTGGTAGAATGCTCACAAATGTGAGGACCAGAGTTGGATTCCCAAACACCGTGTAAAAAAGGAGGTAAATGCAGTGCTGGTAAGGTGGGCAGCAGAGACAGTCGGAATCCTAGAGCTTGCCGACCAGCTAACCTGCCCACTTGGTCAAGTTCCAAGACAACGACAGACCCTTAAGGTTGTCCTTTAACTTCCACACCAAGACCCATCCCTACCTCCTGCCCCAAACACAAACATGCATGGGGACGCCACACCAACACTGTGCTGGTTAGTTTTGGTTGTTGGCTGGTTAGTTTGGTTTTTATCAACCTGGCACAAGCTAGATGGATCTGAGAAGGGAGAGCATCAGTCAGTTAAGGAATTGCTTCCATCAGATTGGCCTGTTGGTGAGTCTGTGGGACATTTTCTCAATGAATGGTTGATGTGGGAGAGCACAGCCCATTGTGGGCAATGCCATCTCTAGAAAGGAGAACCCAGATTTTATTTATATATATATATATATATATATATATATATATATATATATATATATATATATGCAAGCTGAGTGAGCTGTGGAGAGTAAGCCAATAAGCATTCGTCTCCAGTCTCTGCTTTAGTTCCTGCCTTAGGTTCCAGCCTTGGCTTCTCTGATGGACTGTAATCTGCAAATCCAATAAACCCTCCTCTTCCCAAGCTGCTTTGGGATGTGATCTTTTACCACAGCAGTAGAAAGCAAACTAAGACAAAAACTACCACCAACAAAAGAAATGAGTGGCTGGTCTCTGGAGGAGCTTTTGAGAACATGTCCACTTTCTCCATGTGTATATCTTCAACAGAACTTTGACTAAGTAACCAGTACCACCCAGGCCTGATGGTGCGCTTGGTCCTAGATTTACCACTACATCCCAACCCGGAGCCTCAGTAGTCCTTTACAACTGACTGGGAATGACTCTGAAGAGGTGATAATTAGAAAGAAGACCAGAGGGAACGTTCTGAGAATGCGTTTGGGCATAGAATAAAAGTGCAGATGCCTTGTAAACCCAGGGAGCCTGACTCACTCCTGACCCTCGGCACCACCTCCCTAGCACACCCCACAACCCACAGCGAAGGTCTAAAAGGAGGAAGATGAGGGAGCCTGATGGGGTACATGCTCTTCACTTTGATGGCACTTGGACTTGCTCAGGTCACAAGAAGCATTCGTAATAATCCTTTCCATTTCTCTTTCCTGTTTCTAGAGCAGGCATTCAGACTGCAGCTACAAGAATACAGTGCTAGTCTCAGTGAAAATAAACCCCTAGAGTTTATCTCGAGGGGTGCAACAAATTGCCTCTCAAAATTTCTTTCTCACAGACTAGGATAGCAAAAAGGATCTTTCTTCCCTGCTCTTTAGATGAAGGCTTCTGAGGGTCCCTATGAGACAGAAACCATTAAGACATCAGCTACTGTCTTGCTTTTCTCACTGCTGTAACAGAATACTTGACAGAAGCAACTAAGGAAAGAAGGGGGCTGGGGAGATGGCTCAGCAGGTAAAGGTGCTTGCAGCCAAGCTTAACAAGTTCAATTCCGTCGGGGGACCCTGTTGTATAACGGTTTCCTCCAAGAGTGACACTTTCCAGCCTGCAGGGAACCTCCTTAAAGGTAAACAACTCAAAATAGCTCCAGGAAGTCCCTGAAACTGAACAGATTGACTAGACCCTTCCCTGCCAGAGTGAGCAGAGCCAAGCTGCAAAGACGAATCGCAGATCAGCTGAGCTGTCAAGAAGACAAGCTGAGCTGCAAAGGAGACTGAGAGCAGACCAGATGCCTGGAAGCAGCAGAAACCAGCTGAGCTGTCTGGAAGAGGTTTAGACCAACTGAGGCGACACTCTTCAACCTGTTGAGCCGCCTGCAGGCCGTGTGGTCTAGTTTTCCCAGCTTTGTGAACCATCACTCGTTCTGGTGTGGGCTTTGCTGATGCAGCTGTCTTTGGATCTTTTCTGCTCCCGAAAGTGACCCTTCACCCATACCCCTGTAAGTAACCCCAGTAAAATGTATTGGTTCAAGTTGGACTTTGGTGCTATCTGTTCTTTGGTCTGTCCCGTACTTCCTGTCTGGGGTGAGTAGATGTGCGTGTTGCATCTCCTCAGGAAAAGTTCTGTCACACAACAGATGCACACGGTAGAAAGGGAGAACTGACTCCCTCAAATTGTCCTCTGACCTCCACACATGTGCTGGAGCTTGTGTGTACCCCTTTACACAAAATAAATACATAAATGTAATAAAGGAAGGGAGAGTTTGTTGTGGCTCACAGTTTACGAATGTAGTCTATCATGGCAGGGAATATGAAGCAGTGGATCCTATTGTATGCACAGTCCATGAAATGGCACCATCTACATGTAAGATTGATCTTCCCACTCAGTTAACCCCATTTAGAAACTCCTTCAAAGACACGTCCAGAGTTTCGTCCCTTAGGTGATTCTCAATTCTGTTGGCAATACTACCATCACAGCTGGGAACACCTAAGATGTAACTATACAACAGTAATTATTATCATAATAAGCATTATTATTACTTTTATTGTTATACATTTACTATGAGCTACGTACAGCTCATAGCATTACTTTGTTGTTAATCTTCACAGCAAATAGCTTTTATTAATACTTCCATTTTACAGTACAAGTATTATGACACAGTGGCATTAAACAATAACCCAGGCAAGCCCAAGGTCACATAACTAAAACATTATGAATCTAAGGCTTAACTTAGACCCCACTGGTCAATGCCTATATGATTAACCATGATGTTTATGTTCTTTTATTTCCCTAGCCAAGGCCTAATCCAGTGTCAGGCCGAGTAAGTCACTGAGACCAATGTGGCAAGGGCAGATAAATTCCCAAGATAGCTTCTCTGTCTTTCATGCTTTCCCTCAAGCTATTTTACCTGCTCAAAATGTCTTTCTTTTGTAAAAGGGACCTTAGGAATCATTCTTAGGAGTTGAGGAGTGCCAAGTTGAGACTACCCGACAAACACTTGGTGTATACTGTGATTGGAGTATGAAAGGGGAAATATTATAAGTGCCTTTTATATGAGGTAGAGCTTCCCAGGTTGCCATGGTCCCCAGCTGACCCACTGTTCTCACCTTCTCCCTGTACTTCATGCTTAGCTCTGGGCTGTGGAGAATATGTTGTCTCCCAGCACACTGAAGGCTCATGTTTTTGCTGCTGTTGTTCTTTTGGGATGTTTGAAGGAGGGTTATTTGGTTTGATTTTTTTCCAGGGGAGAGACACCTTGTTTACTTACCATCACAT